GACAGTCTCATTGATGTTTTGAACATATAGTAAAAGACAATAGAATGGAATGTGTATATTGTAGACTTTGATGTACCTTAAAAATGAATTTGTACATGTAAAAACAAAAAACAGCAAATTTTGGAAAATGATATCTTCACTCTGATGGTTAAAGCTTCAAATAAAGTTCATTTTTCAGTCCATACTGTTATATAAAGCATTTCTTCGTAAGTTTTTTTTTTTGAAGATTATAAGGCATCTGTAAAATAAAAGAAAATATTTCCACTGTCAGATTTGACAGCGGACATGAAAAATTAAATACCTATCCAACTAGTTAACAAATGGAAGATGCACAAACTGATTAAATACATAAATAATGATATACAAGTTAAACACCCAATGAAGACTATTAATTGTGATAGAGACATGATTTCCTATAGTTTTGTTGTATAATAAAATCTGACTGATCCATAGACTATACAAATATAGTAAAGGACTGAATCATTCAAATTCAGTTTTTTAAACCAATTAAATAAAAAAAAATCACTCAATTTTTCGTATGTCTGTACTGTTATAATGTTGAAGTCTCTTTTATCACATATTAAGTCAGAAAACAAAATCCAGTGAGTGCGTAACTTGACTGACAATTCTACAATTTAAAAAAATATCATCACAAAGTTATGATATATATCCTTAATGTTGAAGATTAAAATAACCCCAAATCCCAACTTCTTCTGAGTTACATATAAAGGTTTTTGAGTCCAGTCCAGAATGTTAAACTCCACAAAAGTTTGCATGGAAATGATCTAGATGTACATAAATAACAAATATACTTAAGGAAGAGATTTATATTGTTAAGGTGTTCAGGGGAGGTAACTAATGTTCAGGTCTCAAAAAGTTTAAAAAAAAAAAAAAAAATGTGTAAAAATCCTGCAGCCCAAAGTTATACTGTTGGATTATTGTTTTGTGTCTTTTACATATAAATATACCTATATATATATCAGTAGAATTGAACAGCATCACATGCTATTGAAGGTAACACTGTATGGTACCTGATGGGTGACACAGAAGCACTTTACCATATAAATATATATCGGAATAAATAATCCTACACATTAACAGGTTTCGATATATCTAAGTCATTGATATATCATACCTCAGTACTCATAAAGATCAAAATACAAACCATTCTCAAATCAACAGACTACGGGTATACGAGACATGAAAGTGAAATTCTAAGAGCTTTTTAAATACTGACCATGATAAATATTGCTATGTTTTATCTTTATAAAGAAAACTTCAATTACAAATTCAATAAAACTTATTCTAATGTAATGTTAGATAGAAATTTGAGATTTTTCATATGAAAATAAAATTTCTAATGAAATAAAAGTAATCAAAATTGATGAATGCTGTGAAATCATGAAGGAAAAATAAAACAAATTATGGAATTTGTGAAAATTATAAGAAATGTTAAATATAAATAAATTGTTAACAATTCAATCAAAATAAAATTTTTAAAAATCTACTGAGACAGATTACGATTTGAAATCATCCGACAGCATAATTTCTCCTGATGTTAAGCTATCACAGAAAATGTACAAAATACAACATCAACAATTCAACACAAAACATTCACACAATGCTGTGAAAAATAATACTTGTCAGTAGCTCAGATATATATACTGTACTTCAGCAGTCCTTGATTGGTTGGTATCACAAATTCAATCAATGATAATGATTTGATAATGTATTATTATTATATCAACTACAATATCAGCAGTGCTTTTGTTATCAATTTTCAACAATATACAAAATGTTCTGACAAATAGTCTGTAAACATTATATCGATGGTGGATTAAAAAAAGAAAAAGATGTTTGGTTTGGCTTTCATACTTAAGCAAAGTTAATGAATCCACTTCATCCACTAATTAAAAAGACCTGGCTGGATAAGCTAATCAACAATTCTCTTGTTTGTAAACAAATATAATTGAAGTCACAAAATTGATGATATTCATTACTAACATCTTGAATATGAAAATTTCTGTCAGAAGTTAAGTGTTTCATATACTGACTTTATCAAATACCCAACTTCAATCTAATCAGGGTTTACATTGCTGACTGATGTATGATTTCCTGTAAAGAATCTGAATGGTCTCTGCAGAGACTTAAGGTATTTAGTCATACTATTATAGAAATTGAAAGAATAAGAACAAATACATGTACATTCTCTTGGTATTGAAAATGAACTGATAATTAAGTTGCGCCAATTTTTTTCTATTAACAAGTAGTATTAAATAAACAAAAATGAACAACAATATCTCTTGAAATATCTGATGAAGGAATGAAATATTTGTACCATTGAAAAATTGAAGCTAATCAGAATGTTATAATTGTAAAATTGACACAATAATTACTGTGCACAACAGTCTTTGGTGGGTTTTGTAGATTAATGCAAAATATATGTTGAAAAATAACAAACACAATTTATTTTTTAACCAACCTCACCATACAGAATAAGAACACACTTTGAGTATGAATGTGTATTGGGAATACTGCTTCAATTTAAACAGCCAAAGGGAGACAACCTTGTCAACTCTCACACAAATTCTGATTTGCACTAGTGTGGATATATATATAACTACATAAAGAAAGTCTCACTCTGTATGTGTATTTTTATAATATGCATAGTTTATCTAGACAGCAGCAGTTACCAGTGATAAAATGCACAATATAAAAACTAAATTTGAGAAAAATAGTCAGATGATTTTAAAATTTCACCCCTTCAGCATTGACATGGTCAATCCTTGTTGACCGACATGTAACAGCTGCACACACAATCAATTCAAACAGACTAGAATTTCTACAGACTAATAAACACTTCAATAAATACTGGGGCTATTTTTATCCCTGATAAATTAGTATGTTAGTGATGAAACATCAAGCCGTGGAATATATCTGAAATACCGATATTCTAACATCACACTAACCTGATATATAAACAATGTTATTGCTAAATACAAGCCTGTGGTTACTAAATACACTTCTCATAAAACATCAAACCAGTAATATCATAACTGTGTATCTAACAGACTTATTAAATACACCCTAAGGTCAAAAGCCTACCAACCTGGTGGACCAACTTCAGGGCTGGTCCAGAAATATAAGACTTGGGATGGGGGAGCATGGAGGCACATATAGAGATAAGAAGGAGTTGATGGTGTGTACCAGTGACATGCATGTATCAGATAGATGAAGACAGCTTTAATCAACAAAGCCGGAAGGACCCTTTCAGTTTTGGCCAGACTCTGATAACTTACAGGATTGGCAAGGCCAAAGATTCACAAAGCTAGGAAAATGACTTCCCAACTCTCATTTCCAAAACATTAATTTCATTTCTAATGGACTTTTAACTGACCAACCAGATAGTATGTACAAATTTACATAATTATGACTAGAAAATGAGAATTTTGGTTGATGGGCATTAGTAGATATTGCCTCCTTGTCCCCACCCATTTATTTTTAGAATATCCCTTTATTTTACCTGTATATAAATAAAAAACACCGGTTATTGGGTCGTCACTTACTTAAAATGTCTTAGTTTTAACAGATTTTGAAAATTACAAATCAATCACCTTCTTAATGAATTACATGGATTGATATTCAAATTCTCCCAAAGTTCATGACATACTGATCGTGTTATCCCAATTAAGTTATATAAATAGACATTAAGCTATCAAGTCCTAATTACACATCAAAACATCATAACTAATTAAAGTTGTTAATTTATCAAACCATATCGCTGTAATAGTAACTGCACTCATCCAAAACACACAAAGACATTTTCTTATCACACATCAAAAAAATATCTCCAGGACAACAAGCAACCAGTTATATAAAACGTAGTTATTAAATTACATTTTATATACGATATCTATATAAATATATATATATATATATATAACAAAGTATTTACATTGCATCCCAAACAATAAACATATTGTGATAACAATACTATGGTGTAGAAAGTCAGCAAAGACTAGCAGTTAGGTTGTGTAAAATATATCTTAATACAGTAAACAAAATATCATCTTCATCATCATCATCATCATCGTCATCATCACCATCAACCTCGCACCAGCAGGTGATATAAATCCATCAGTGAAATATATTACACTACCTGTGTAATAGATACTAAAATATCCTCTAAGTTGATTCATTGTAATATTTAAACCATTTCAGAAAATGAATCTTACAAAATAAAATCAAACATCTTTCAACATTCACTAATATTTTCATCTGTTCAAATTTATTTTTAGGAATTTGAACGAAGTGTTTCCAACATCTTATCATATTTTTTTACTTATTTTCTCTGCAGAAACAGAAGATTCTGGTTCCAGTACCTAATAAACAGATAAATATAATCAATTCAAATGTTTTCTTGTTTTGTGTAAATGAAGAATAAAAAAAAAATAATTAAAAAATTCTGCATTCATAATGTTCAAAAACATATGTGTACAATGTATTTCAAATATGAATACCTGCACATAACACCAAGAATTATGAAATCTAAACAATTTTTACATTTACTATATATTTCAATCACATACAATGTATGTTTCCCTATACAATGTACTTACATCTTGTAATACATTTTCTGACAACAATGTAAAAGACACTGCCTGGAATGCAATATGAGAACCTGACTTGTTGGAATGTATTCATAATATGCTGGTCAGTTTACACAAACTTTACCAGTTGTACTCGTCTAATTAAAAGATTCTAAAAACTGATATGAAAATGTCCAAGAAATTCAGAACTGATTGGTATAAATGTAACCAGAATTGATGTTTCTCAAAATGAATGGAATGACTAGCAATAATACTTAAATCAGCAGTGAAGACACACAATTCAATCTGGACGACACTGTTTTTAGCAACAACGGTATTCAAGTTCCTACAAGGAACAAGAACCAGACATCATAGTTCTTCTTGTACAAATTTTTGCAGAATGATTAAAATTTAGCTGGCATGTTTGATTTTGTGTGAGGACATCTGAGCAGGACCTAGTACAGCATAATTACATGGGGTACGGGTACAGTGATAGTGAGTCTGCTTTCTGTTGTACTGGCAAAGTGCCACGCAACATTCTTCGTCAACAGACACCTTCATAAATCCTTGTGAACTGATGCTATCCATCTTGGAATGGTGTTTGCGGTGGGTAAGAACCTTACTCGAGTCTGTACAGCAATAGTCACACTTGAGACAGTGGAAGTGTGAGGCCTTGCCCTGGTACTCGCATTGATCCACATTACAGGACTGGTTCATGCGGAACTGTCTCATCTCTCCACCAGTTAGACTGTCAATACGCTCGTGACGCAAGGTATGCTGAATGAGACGAGATCTGTCACTGAAACTGTAGCCACAGTCCTCACGGATACAGTGGAAGTGGGTCACACCCTGACGATATGCACACTTTTCATGGTGGCAGTCCTCCTTCTGTTTTATACGAGTATAACCCTCAGGAATGGAGTCATCCTTTCCAGTTCGTGGGAGAGCGTTTTTCTTTTGCTTCACAACAACTGAATTACTGTCCACAAAGTCGTTACGTTTTGTTGCTGTCCTTTTTCGTCCAGATTTACGACCAGATCCTCCATCCTTCAAATCCTCCTGTCTTCCATCATCGAACCCATTATCGTTACTCTCAAGGACATCTGGGCTTTTCTCTTCATGAAATCTCTCATCAATGACAAGTTTTCCTGAGAAGCCGAGTCCAGAATCTCGATCATGGTTTGGTAAGGGTTGTGCACTTGTAGCATGAGCTTGCTGTGCTTTTGCTATCATGGTAGAAAATGTTGAGAATTCTAGGTTTAATGAAGAAGACCCATTTAATTCATCTTCATCTTCTTCACCAGGGTCAGACAGGTGTACAACCTCAGGTGGAAAATCCTCACTTTCAGTGGCACATTCAGAGCGGAGCTGAGTCTGTGTAATAACTGAGGCAGGTGTTGATGTTGATTGTGTTTCTTCACTCTTGCTTATCTTGACACCATGCTTGCAGATGTGAAGGCGAAGTCGTGATGGATCAGAGAAGGCCTGATTACATTCAAAACAATGGAAATGATCTTTCTTTTTCAATTTACAAAATGGTCTACCACAGTTCTGGTTGATATCAAAGTGCATACTTTCTTTCAACTCCTGCCAGCTGCGTTGGGGGATATGGTTACTTCCCTTCTGCTGTAGTAACACAGACAGTGGTGCATTGCCTGCGACCAGACCCTGAGTGATGACGGGTGTGGCCACAGAGCTCACAGTGGCCACATTGGGGACAACCAACGCCATGTTCGATACAGCAACTGGCATGGCCTGAAGTGTGGCAACTGGAGACACTTGTGTTGCTAGCTGTGTAGTCAGCGTTGGTATAGACATGGTGCCAGGAGATTTACTCAGACCTGACCAAGGAAAGAATGTCCCTGATGTCTTGATGATGCCTTTGTTTACTGATTCTAATGGGCTGGGGGACAGAGCTGGAATAATTGGCATGAACCCTTGTACAGACACATTAGGCGCTTCCTTCTTAACAAGTTGGAGAGGTTTAAGGTCTGCGGCGCCATCTGTCCTGTGTTTCTTGTCATGTTGCATCATAGTGCTGTGCCTGACAAAAGAATAATCACACTTGGGCTTCACACAATGGAAGTGCCGATTAATTTTGTTATTGTTGCAGTGGTTGCGGCGACAATTGACATTGCGGTCAAAGAATTCGAAGCCCTCCATAATGGTAACAAAGTTGTGGAAGTCTTTGGCGTGAAGGTTGAGGACATCGAGTCTGTCGGTGACATGGTGGCAGCGCGGGCGAGCACAGTGGTAATGCTGCTGTTGTCTGTAGATACACATTTCATCAGGACATTCCTCATGTTCCTCAAACATCTTAAACCCATTAATCACTTTGGGGAGGCCACTACTGTTGACAGCCACTTTTCGAGTGGACTGAGCAATTTCTTCCTCTGTCAACTCAACCTTGGGAATGATGGGGATATCGATTTTTGGATACTTTGGTGGTCTGCCCCTTCTCCGAGGTGAATTATCTTCAAGTTTTGATCCAGAAAACTTGTATGTCTTTCCTTGGGATGCCCTGGCATACTCATGGATACGGTAGTGTTCCAAGCGTCCAAATGTTGGACCAATGTGGGGCACAACATGAGTACAGCCAGACTGCAAAAGTAAAGAATTTGTATAAATTAAAGAGCTCTTACACTACTTTATGGCCAAAATTAAATGAAAAAATAAATAAAATAATAAAAAAACAAAAACAAAAAATAAAAGAGGAAAGAAAATTGGCAGAAATGTTTAAAACATAAATAAGCTTTTATTCGTTTAATAAAATGAATGACAAAAGAGATTAAAAAAAAACATACATATGTTGTTCCTATGCTTACTATTGTAGACATAACATAAGCTTTTCTAATTAATCGTGTAATATATTAAATGTCTGTTGAATGAAAATTGGCTATATCGTTTGTATAGGAGATTTATTCTTGTAATGTAAGTTATTACAATACTGATATGGTATGTACCAGAAAATACAGAAGAATACAATATGCCAGAATATGAAGCTAGAACCTACCCAGATACAGTGGTAATGTTTCTCCTTGAGACTATACTGACAACTGTTAGGACAGGCCTGAAGAGGTTCATACACATGGTAGGCCACAGGTGTGATACGGTCCTGTAGCTCATGGAATCTGCAGGACATAATTAACATTTTCATACCATAAAAAAATTGTTGTCATACTTAACTATTTTACAACTATGAATGACAAATGACTTAAAATATCTCTTTCCATCATAATGAAATATCTTCATGATAAAAAATGTGCATGTTCAGATATTTCAAAGCTTACAGTATCAACAGAAAGTTTTGAAAATAATATTTCTAAGCAAATTTCAACAATTTAACATACATACAGGATAGGAAAACAAGCTTAGAGCTTATATTAATTCCAAAGTTAAAAAAGTTAAAGGAAAAGAAAGGATTTGAAAAAATGTTGGTATACAATAATCCCTTTGATATTTGTATCAATGAATTTCACATATGATGTTGACTGATATAGTTATAATGATACATATGGTCCTGACAATCCGTACCTAGCATGCTCTCGGACCCCGTCCTTTGACTTGAAAAGCACCAAGCATCCCTCTACTTTACAATGGTAGTGATCCTTGTACAGATATTGGCATCGGGAGTTACAGGGGTCATTAGCTGTATACCTGTCAGGGTTCAGAGGTCACAGAAAATATAAAAACTGATAGTGGTTGAAATTAAGCAAGTAATGTACATAGTCAAGTGATTGTCTCCCTTAGATCATTCATAAAACCTCAAACTCGGCATGTAAACTCAAGTTAGCTGTGCATGAAACATCTTTTTCAAATGAGTTAATTCTAAGCAGTGCTTTAAAAAGCTTTGAACAAATTTCATTGATGCGTAGAAATAATAACTAACTTTACAGATTTTGTATTTTTTTTCCCCACCCAATGATTTACTTCAAAGTATGAATTAACTTTTCATATATTTATCGATGAAAAATGACCATTACATTAAACTTCAACTAAAAATACTAAAAAGATTAACACATGTATGTAAATCATGCCTAACCTTATCCTTCCATCAGAGAATGAATGTTAAAACTATAGTGACTATGCTAACATACCTTACAAGATAATTTTTCCAAGCCTCATCTCTCTCCCGCTTCTCCATAATGGGGGGCCTGGCAGGCAGGGGAACGCTAGCTAATGTTGAGCCTGCCTGAGAGGTGGCTGAGGATAAAGCAGGGGACGTTTGAGGGATTGCCACAGAAGGGGCTGAGGTAGGGGTTTGGACAGGAAGTTGTAACGGCTGTCGAACAGGAGATATTTCCTGTTGGGGGTTTATGGTAACTTCATCCTTAACATGCATGCCAGGTATGGGTAGTGTAAGCGAATCGCTGAGTCTGGCCCCAGTCAGGTTAAGAGCAGCCATTTTTGAAGTCTTCTGCTCGCTGTATGGCGTGTCGGGAACATCTGAAATATCGTCCTTTACACTGTCACTGTCTGGGTCCTGGTGAGAAACATCCATGGCAGTGTTTGATTCAGAGGATTCTGACTTTACATCTGAAAAGCTATTTTCATTTAGATTTGATGGTTGGTCCTCCTGCATGAATTTAGATTCATTACTTTCCGAGTCATCAAATGTTTCTTGTTTTATGGCCAGCGGTAGCGACATACTGGTCTGTCCTGTCTTCAATCTCTTGGAGTCATTGGAATCAAAATCATCCAGCGCTTCACGCTTGATGGCTACAGGAAGTGACATGGTCTGGTGGTTATTCATGAGTGTCACATTAGTGAGAGTATTCACCCTAGAGGGCGCCACTGTTCCCGCTATGATGCCTTGAGCATGACCTCCCTTAACGTCCTGTTGTTCCTCACGAAACTTCCTATATGCTGACTCAAAATCTCGTCTTTCATGCTTCCTCTTGTGCGAGTACAGCTGAGCAGTTGAATGCAGCACATAATTGCACCCTAAAACAAAAAAGACAAAATAAAGTTTCTGGAAAAGAAAAATTAAAGTCATGAACACAATAAACAAACTTTGTAGATTCTTACAAACAGAATGGCAAGACACCATTTTGAGAGGAACCCAAATGCCACATAAGGTATGTGATACTATTAAATGACTCTGATTATATAACTAGCTATAGATATGTAGTTATAAGGTGTGTACTTACCAGTGCGTATACAGTGAATATGGTTGCTGACTTTGGAGTAGCGACAGGATGTGTAACCACAGTGTTCATATTTCATGAATTTTTTGAAACCGTCTTTTGCCAAGACTTCATCTTTCTGGTGATAGGTTTTATGTTTCTCTACAAAGTTAGAAATATTCAAATAATGAAAATAAAACTTCTGATAGAAAACACAAATTGCATTTATATGAGCAGGTCAAAAGGTTAAATTACAAATTTAACCCAATACACTTCAGATTTATATTATGAGGTTGGTGTAAAAAAATGAATTATTGTAATTTTTAAAAAATGTTTAAAACTAATTATATATGCAAAACTATAATATATGCATTGATCACTATTTAGATGTTCAATGCTCACTCAAACAACTTTTTGGAACACTCAAGACTTACCCATGTCAGCCTTGTTTTTGAATGTGAAGTTACAGGTTGGTCGGCGACAGTGGAAATGAGTCGTTCTCTGTCCATAAAAGGCACAAGATGGTGTGCCACAGTCTTCTGTGGCTCGGAATCTCTGGAAACCTTCCTGGATGATGGCGGAGTCTTTACGATGATAGTTGGCATGCATTTGTACATCTGATGTACTGATATAGACCTTGTCACATCCACCCTGTTAGCAGAAAGTTACACCAGATAAAGTCTTGGGGGAAGTTACAATTGTATTTTGACTGGAGTTCAAAGAAGTAGAAAGGAAAAGATGATAAGAATATAAATACTAAGTCAAACAATCTATGTCAGATTAATTTTTTACTCCTTTGGAACCCGCCCCTCTGGCCACATGGGAGTCATCATTTATGCAAAATTCCATTTACCTATGTATGATTCAGAGCAAACTGGGACAGAATTCAACCATTCCAACTTTTTTTTTAAATGGTTTTCATGTCCATTTAGTGGTGGAGAATAAAAGCAAGGATTTAACAGCATTCCAACAAGTGGTTGCCTTTTAGGGGAAGTGGTGGTCAGGTGGCGCAGTGGTAATGAACTCGCCTTTCACCTAGCCGTCAGGGGTTCGATTCCCAGAATGGATGTGAAAAGGTATGGGATCACCTGCCTGACCAAATGGGTTTTCCCTGGATACTCTGGTTTCCTCCCAAAATAAGACCCCTCACATGCTTCCATTCGAGCCAGAAAGTGTGATTAATAAAAGTTGGAAAAACTTGCTTCGTAATTGTTGTAAAATAAATAAAGATTATTTATTTATTTATTTCGGAAATTCCATTTAAAGAAAATATACTAGAAACCAACACTGATTCCGAAGGGGCTCCACAGTAGTTACCTCTTGTGCTGGGCGGTCAGATATCAAGGTCTACTCATTTTGGGAACTTGCATGGATTTAAACAAATTGAAACTCATTTTCATAGATTATGTTTGTCTTATCATAAAATCTACAATGAATTTTGTTATTATATCGCATAGTTTTGTTAAAGATATACATTTAATATCATTGCCTTACATGCAGTGATATTGTAAAACATTAACAGTCACACCTGTTTGAAAATCATGTATTTTTCTGTACAGATATGAATAATTTACCAAACATTATGTCTACTATTTGAATTACCTGGAGGCAGTGATAATGTGTCTGACGGCCATTGTGAGTACAGCCTACGAACTTCTGACTGCAATCATCCATAGGACTGTATCTCATGAAACCATGCTGTAGAGACTCCTCCCGTTTGCGGTGCCACTTGAAGTGTCGAACCATTTCTTCCTTCTTGACAAAAACACGGAAGTTACAATCCATGCAGTGGAAGTGCTCACGATATCCAAGCTCATGGCAGTATTTAACTTTACATTCCTGTCCATTGTTGAATCTGTGTACAAAAAAATTACATAAACACTGTATTTAAGTTTAGAAATTCATTAAATTCTCTTGTCTTCAGTCACATTAAAAACTCTCAAGAGTTTCTGAAATTATCAACTTTTGCCTTTTTAACTCTCTAATAAAACCCATGGATACAGTCAAATTGCATTTATCTGTCAAAAACCAACAATAAAATCATCTCCTATTCATTTCAAAGTATAAAAGGGTATATAATATATAACTGTAATCCCATAGAGCAGAGGAGCCCTACCCTGACAGGTATACAGCATATTGTTCAGGAGCCCTACCCTGACAGGTATACAGCATATTGTTCAGGAGCCCTACCCTGACAGGTATACAGCATATTGTTCAGGAGCCCTACCCTGACAGGTAAACAGCATATTGTTCAGGAGCCCTACCCTGACTGGTTCACAGCATATTGTTCAGGAGCCCTACCCTGACTGGTTTACAGCATATTGTTCAGGAGCCTTACCCTGACTGGTATACAGCATATTGTTCAGGAGCCCTACCCTGACAGGTATACAGTATATTATTCAGGAGCCCTACCCTGACAGGTAAACAGCATATTGTTCAGGAGCCCTACATTTACAGGTATAAAGTGTATTATTTATGAGCCCTACAGTTACAGGTATAAAGTGTATTGTTTATGAACCCTACAGTTACAGGTATAAAGTGTATTGTTTATGAGCCCTACAGTTACAGGTATAAAGTGTATTGTTTATGAGCCCTACAGTTACAGGTATAAAGTGTATTGTTTATGAACCCTACAGTTACAGGTATAAAGTGTATTGTTTATGAACCCTACAGTTACAGGTATAAAACATATTGTTCACGACCCCAACACTTATAAGTAAAACATGTATTGTTTATGAGCCCTACAGTTACAGGTATAAAGTGTATTGTCTATGAGCCCTATAATTACATGGTTACAGCATCGAGCTCAGGAGCCTTACTTTTACAGAAAAAAAATTATTCAGTTTTTTAAAATGAAAAACCTACCGTTTAAGGTACTTTGAATAGTCTGGTAGGAGTACTCTCCCTTGAGAGTTGGCCTTGACCTTGCTTTGGTGGTTGAATACTGCCTTAATGTAAGCAGCACTGTTAGTGAACTTGTCTTGATGCTTGTTTGCTGGAAAAAGAAAAATGAATATTAAGCTCAACCACTAAACAATGTACAGGTTCACCACTAAATAATGTACAGGTACACCACTAAACAATGTACAGGTACACCACTAAACAATGTACAGGTACACCACTTAACAATGTACAGGTACACCACTAAACAATGTACAGGTACACCTCTAAACAATGTACAGGTACACCAATAAACAATGTACAGGAACACCTCTAAACAATGTACAGGTACACCACTAAAACAATGTACAGGTACACCAGTAAACAATGTACAGGTACACCACTAAACAATGTACCAATAAACAATGTACAGGTACACCACTAAAACAATGTACAGGTACACCAGTAAACAATGTACAGGTACACCAATAAACAATGTACAGGTACACCACTAAAACAATGTACAGGTACACCAGTAAACAATGTACAGGTACACCACTAAACAATGTACAGGTACACCACTAAAACAATGTACAGGTACACCACTAAACAATGTACAGGTACACCACTAAACAATGTACAGGTACACCACTAAACAATGTACAGGTACACCACTAAACAATGTACAGGTACACCACTAAACAATGTACAGGTACACCACTAAAACAATGTACAGGTACACCACTAAACAATGTACAGGAACACCACTAAACAATGTACAGGTACACCACTAAACAATGTACAGGTACACCACTAAACAATGTACAGGTACACCACTAAACAATGTACAGGTACACCACTAAACAATGTACAGGTACACCACTAAACAATGTACAGGTACACCACTAAAACAATGTACAGGTACACCACTAAACAATGTACAGGTACACCACTAAAACAATGTACAGGTACACCACTAAACAATGTACAGGTACACCAGTAAACAATGTACAGGTACACCAATAAACAATGTACAGGTACACCACTAAAACAATGTACAGGTACCAAACTTAAACAATGTACAGGTACACCACTAAACAATGTACAGGTACACCACTAAAACAATGTACAGGTACACCACTAAACAATGTACAGGTACACCACTAAAACAATGTACAGGTACACCACTAAACAATGTACAGGTACACCACTAAACAATGTACAGGTACACCACTAAACAATGTACAGGTACACCACTAAACAATGTACAGGTACACCACTAAACAATGTACAGGTACACCACTAAACAATGTACAGGCAGGTACACCACTAAACAATGTACAGGTACACCACTAAACAATGTACAGGAACACCACTAAACAATGTACAGGTACACCACTAAACAATGTACAGGTACACCACTAAACAATGTACAGGTACACCACTAAAACAATGTACAGGTACCAGACTTAAACAATGTACAGGAAGGTACACCACTAAACAATGTACAGGTACACCACAAAACAATGTACAGGTACCACACTTAAACAATGTACAGGTACACCACTAAACAATGTACAGGTACACCACTAAACTATGTACAGGTACACCACTAAAACAATGTACAGGTACATCAGTAAACAATGTACAGGTACACCAGTAAACAATGTAAAGGTACAAAAAGACATATTAGCAGTATGATCAGAGTTTTAATTTTAAGCAAAATAAAAATTATTGTTGTTTATGTTGTCTTCTCGGTATCTCATTATTCAAACAAAAAATACTTCATGATATGTTCTAAAGATTTCTTTGGTTGAAGCAAGTAATTCAAAAAGTTAGAAAAAACTTAAGATGTTTAACTTATTGTCTGATAGCATATGTCAGCCTTGTAAGGGCAAAGTAATTTGTATTTCATTTCAGCCCAGGTCACTGTCTATCCAAGTGAGATCTTGTGAACCAAATTTATTTAATATCTCCATTTTATTTATTGCTTTGTGTTGTAATTAAATCTTAACTGAAATATGTTTCTTCTGTTATACATAAAACAATATCACGAAGTATATTACTGATATACATGCACTAGGTTTAATAAATAGAAATCCATATTCATGCATTTCGATATGTACAGAAAAAGGCAAAATACTTCTATCATTCAAGTCAACTGGTACACTGACATTTAATTAATGACAATCAAAAATTCTCGACGGCCACAATTTGAATATTTAGGATTGAAAGCCCAATATATCACGCAAAAAAATGTCAACAATGCCCATCAATTTTCAACTCACAAACTGCAAAATGCTCCAACAGAATTGTTACTTTATCAACTTACCACAGAGAATCGCAAAAGTGATGAATGGGATGAGAGATAATTTTCCTATTCTGAAATTAATTAGGACCTTTTAAATGATTAACTGAAGGAATAAACACAGAGCTTTTATTCACTTTAATGGTTTTTTTGAATGTATAGGTGTGTGTATATACACATCAATTAATGTTCATAGCGGACTGCCAATGAAATATAGTGAACACTTGTTTCCCTCTATAAATTTTGTGCTTATAAACAGCCGTGAGTTATTTATATTGCTATAATGAATATATCACTTTTATACGTTAGAAATTATGGAAACCATTTTAACATTAAAAGTTTCAAGAATAAAACATTTTAATCGGACATGAGTCATATTGGGATAGCTTGACAGTTTGATGTGTCCGTGTCATTTAATCTATATTAATAGTTAAGATCTTAACATGTAAATGCCAAAATACTAAATCAGTAAGACTTGGGAATGAGGTGGTATTAAAAAAACACTACCTGTACTTGTGCGACAGTAACCTGAATTTAACAGATACTTCTCAATACACAATGTCTAAATATCACTGGGGTCAATTTAAAAAATAAAGCAGTTAAAGTTAATAATAAGTCATTAATTTTTGTGGAGTTTCATTTTTTTTTCTTCAAATTTGTGGTTACTCTTAATTCATGAATATGTCCATGAAATGTATGATAAGCTGATAAAAACTGAGGTGGATTAGAATACTGGTAGGTTTCATAACATTTTCCCACAAAATCAAGTGCCAACAAAAATGCATTGTTTTGCTAAAGCATAGAATTTGAGCCCAATGAAAATATTTGATTATATAGTAGGCAATGTACAAGTGGACAGGTTTAATACTTATTTATGAGATAATTTCCAGTCACTTTAAACAAAGTTCATTTAAGTTATAATACATTGGTAATTCAAGTTACAGTCCACTTAAGTTTATTAAGTCCTATTATGGTCAGTCAAATTATTTAAACTGTTGTCTAATAATACAATGTACAGTTAAATACAATGTCAATAAGAATTAAGTCAAGCAGTGTCCAGTCAAATCAAACAATGTCAAGTTAAAACAGTGTCCAGTCAAATTAAACAGTGTCAAGTTAAAACAGTGTCCAGTCAAATTAAACAGTGTCAAGTTAAAACAGTGTCCAGTCAAATTAAACAGTGTCAAGTTAAAACAGTGTCCAGTCAAATTAAACAGTGTCAAGTTAAAACAGTGTCCAGTCAAATTAAACAATGTCAAGTTAAAACAGTGTCCAGTCAAATTAAACAGTGTTCAGTCAAATCAAACAATGTAAAGTTGAGTTAAGACAGTGTCCAGTCAAATTAAACAGTGTCAAGTTAAAACAGTGTCCAGTCAAATTAAACAGTGTCAAGTTAAAACAGTGTCCAGTCAAATTAAACAGTGTCAAGTTAAAACAGTGTCAAGTTAAAACAGTGTCCAGTCAAATTAAACAGTGTCAAGTTAAAACAGTGTCCAGTCAAATTAAACAGTGTCAAGTTAAAACAGTGTCCAGTCAAATTAAACAGTGTCAAATTAAACAGTGTTCAGTCAAATCAAACAATGTAAAGTTGAGTTAAGACAGTGTCCAGTCAAGTTAACCAATATCAAGTAAAGTTAACCATGTCAAGTGAAACAGTATCCAAGTCAGATTAAGGAATGTCCAGTCAGGTTAACTAATGTAGGGTCAAATTTATAACCGTGTAAGGTTAAATTTAAAACAGCGAAAGGTCAAGTCAAACAATATCAAGTAAAATTCAATAATACAAAAAAATGTGCTGAAAAAACTGATTGCTCATCAAGTTTTACAAAAGACTTTTCAATAATACAATGCAATATTCTACAATGTAAAGACTTGTTCAGCAATGTCCAGCATGCATTTTCAATTGATGTTAAACAGTGTTGGGTAAAGATATACAATGTTAAAATAAGTTAATAATACAATGTCAAAACAAGTTATACCAAATGTCCAGTTCTTAGAGATAACATGAGTTCTTCACCATTGATCATATAGTTTTTGAGATATGCTCTAGACAAAATTATGACGGACGGACAAACGAACAAAGTGGCGACTATATGCTCTTCCTTCATTTATCATTATAGATAATATAACACTTTTATTATTCAAAATAATAGATTTGAGATTTTATCTTTCTATCAAACACAAAAGGATTCAAATTTGCCTGAAATTATTTAATATAGACTGTCATCTTACAGGTACCACAAAATTTTATGAACCGACCAATAAAATTTATATGTTCGATAGGACTAGTGGTATATTACTCAACTTCACTCAGAATGTTATTCTGTAACCTGGCTCATCAGTGTGTAAGGGTGGGATTGTGGCGTGGGGGCCTGGTCCAAATGTTTACAGGCTTGTCAAATCAATAGCTTGAATTACATACTGTATGTATTTTTCAAGGACATTATGACACTGTCTTAGGTTACCTCTATTTCATATTCTAGGATAAAGTATCACTTTTCACAATTATATTTCACAAAAAATAACCACCTTTACTGTAACCTCCCATCCTATCTCCCAAAAGTAATCACCTTTAAGGTAACCTCCCATCTTACCTCCCAAAAATAATCACCTTTAAGGTAACCTCCCATCCTATCTCCCAAAAATAATCACCTTTAAGGTAACCTCCCATCCTATCTCCCAAAAATAACCAAAAACACCTTCCAAAAATAACCAATGTAACCTCCCAAAAATCTGTAACCTACCTCCCAAAAATAATCAACCTTTAATGTAACCTCCCAAAAATCTTACCTCCCAAAAATAATCAC